CGCGGCTCGGGTCCTGGAGGCGGGGCTTGCAGCAAGCCCCGCCCCCAGGAATCGGGCCCCGCTCTTGCTAAAGCCGGCCCTGCCCACCAACATGCTATAAAAACTCCATGGCCCACTTGTGCCCAAGAACTGGTTTCTGCCAGGGCCAGTGTTAAGGGGTAGCAAGCAGGGCAATTGCCTGGGGCCCCAGGCCCCAGTGATGTAACATTGCTCAGGCTTCAGCTGCAGCCCCAGAGGTTTCAGTCCGATGCGGTGGGGCGTCGGCTCTCTACCCTGGGCCCAGCGAGTCTAATGCTGGCCCTGCTTGGTGGAAATCTGCTCACGGCCCCGCAGGGGGCCCCAGACTCCTGGGTGAGAACCACTGCCATACGCTATCGCAATGATTTTCAACCAGGAAGGAGGGCCACAGAGTATATCTAAGGGGTCTGCGAAAGGCTATCGTTACCCACAGAACAGCGGCTTTCAAACTGGGGTCTGTAGACAATGTAAGATTTCCAAAAGGGTCCACCCCTCCATTTGAAACTTTTAGGGGTTCACAAATAAAAAAAGGTTAAAAATCACTGCTTTATCGCCCTCTGGCTACTCTGAAAAGTGCCATCTATTGCTTCACTCTATGGGATGGGAAAGGCAATGGCAACAAAGCAAAGGAGAAAGCCATGCTGCCAGTTATTGGCAAAGAAGAAATTGGGATGAGTGAAGATCAATGACAGTTTCTATGTGCCAGGAACTCCTTAAAGCTGCTTTCCTCCCACATATTTTTTACACAGGAAGGGGAGCATATAATATTAACATAATACCTTCCTCTTATATAGTGCTTTTCATCCACAGATCTCAAAGCATTTTATAAAGGAGGTCAGTAGCATTATCCCCATTTTACAGACAGGGAACTGAGACACAGAGAGGGATGTGACTGCCCAAGGTGACCCAGCAAAGCAGTGGAAGAGCCAGGAACTGAACCCAAGTATCCTGAAAGCCAATCCTAGCCACTCAGCCAGTATGAAGAAGAGCGCTACAATTTGTATGTTGTTATTCTTACTACTTCTACTGAAGCTCCTCAAACAAGCCCAAACATCTGGAAAATACATACTGTACTTACCTCCTTTAGATTATCTATTTCAGACTCTTGCCTTTTATTCACTGATGCCAGTTTCTCATTAAGTTGTAGTGCTTCCAGCACTTCAATGGAAAAAAAAATTAAATACATCCTCAACACATGCCTTCAAATTAAAATTTCATGTGGATATATACACTGTAATATATACACAACTTCATTAACAAACTCTGTGAAAAAGGAGCTAAGGTTGCATGTGTCTCAATTACTTAGTTTTACTGTAGTAATGCCTAAAATACTCAGTTAGGATCAGGCTGATTTATACTACCCTGGTACAGCTCAAACCTTTAGATTTTTACAAAGGGGTAGAATTTTTGTAAGAAAAGTGTAATATTATTGTGGATATTAGCTGGATTTTACCTTCATTAATTTTCAACTTTAACATTTTAAACAATGAGGTTGTTTGTGCTTTTCTGTTACTTTTAATTATCATCAAAAGTTTAAATCAGGTTATCTATAAGGTGAGGAGGCAGGCTCTACAGAATTTAGGAGACCCATCAAAATGGGGCTTCCCTTCCACAGATTTTAGCAAATCCATAGGATCTGTAGGGGCAATTATACTTAGCTGGAATATGGGAGGTAATGGACAGTAGAAAGGCAATAGAGGAGACATAAAATCTACTTTTATCTACATTGAAAACTTTGAGTGAAATCCTGGCCCTATTGAGGTCAATGAAAGTTTTGCCATTGACTTCAATTGAGCCAGAATTTCACTCTAAAAGTGTTTAAAATACTACATCTAAAAAAACTGTACATGTCCCCCAATCTCTGTATTTCTCAGTCTCCTCTATCCCTATCCATGCATCTTGATCTCCTATACTTTCACTTCATCCCTTATTCCATGCTTTTCCCTTCATGTTTTCCCTTCATGCACCCTCTTTTTACTGCTCCAACAGCTCCCATTCCAAAATTGGGTAGCACAGGTCTGTGCCATCCAGCTCCTACTCCTTTTTAATTTTTTCCCCCAAAATTCCTAGAAATATTCTACTCAGGCATTTACAACTTGTCAATTTCAGGTGGAACGTTTGAAAGTTGGGCTTACAATATGATCAGGCTTACAATAGCCTCAGTAACAGTATTATGAAAGAGATTTTCAAATTAAATAGATGCATTACAAAATGTAACACACTTCTTAAAATGTCCCAAGACAACTTTCCAATACATAAAATATCATAAGTGAAATTCTGTCCAACTGAAGTCTATAACAAAACTCCCATTGACTTCAGTGGAGCCAGTATTTCACCTTCATGGTTTTAAAGCCTGGTAGATTGAAACAAATAATAAATAAAGCCAGAGTTAAAAGTGCTGGATCCCATTAGAAAGAGGGGCATCTCTACTATACAACTACATGAAGCACCAATTTTTAACTTCAACATTTTCAAGATCTACAAATTGTTTTCATAAACACTAAGGTGCCACAAGTACTCCTGTTCTTCTTTTTGCGGATACAGACTAACACGGCTGTTACTCTGAAACCTTTCATAAACACTATTTTTAATCCCAGGAAATCAGTAGGTTAGAAATTAGAGGTTTATTTAATGTATGGATTCCTGTGACTTTTCCATTGACTGTAGATTCATATTCAGAATTTACAAGCGATCTACATGCTTAATATGGCTGTTAAATAACACAGTATAAAATTAATTTTCTCTTCAGTAAGAAATACACTGTAGTTACTATGGTGAATAGCTCATTTTCTTGTTGAACAGAAGCACTTGTATTGCTGTTATATTTAATCTTTTCCAGCTGTTTACTTTGCAAATATTTTGCATAATAAAATACATTTATACATATTCCAAATTATGTAAATACAGAAAGCTAATGTATTTTTCCATAAAAATTGCAAAAAAACATTTTATGCATAGGATAAACAGTAAATAGGACTTTTCCATGATAAATAAAAAGAAAGAACAGCAATGTTTTCTTTTGTTTTAAATATTAAGCACAACTGTATTTCAAAAGACATGAGCATGAGGAATAACCCCAGCCATTAAAATGCCAAGAATGTTCACAGAACAGGCCACCAATTTACTCTTATCTAAATATAAAAAGCTAGCTAGTTTAAGGTTTTGAAAAATGACTTAACTTCATTTACACAAGCCTTTTTTGACATATAATGCTTGGATTTTTTCCTGTCTTTTTTACAACTAATATTTATTTATATTCCATATGTGTATTTACATATACAGACTGAATGTTCAAAGATCTTTGCACATGTTTGCATGCAGCCAAAAAGGATGTACAAAACACTAAATATACACATGCAAGTCAGGGTTGTGTACATGAAAAGGTGTGGTCACATATAAATTCATGACTTATATGCATATAATGGGGGTTTTTCTACACAAGTTCTGTGTAAAATTGCAAATACTTTTAAATATTTGAGCTATTGGTTTTAATTTTGGTATTATTTTATGGAAGAAAAACATATTTGGTGCAAAACTGTTATACATAAGTAAGCACACAGATGCTTGGTGCAATTTTGTCATATACCAACAGATTCACAAATAGTTTTGTAGAATTTAAGCACAGAGATGGGAATGAGTGTTTGGTACAGACTTGTTATATTTGAATAGTTATTTATGCAGAATTTTAAAAAAAGTGCTAGATGATGTTGTTCATCTAGTTCTATTTATTTTTCCTGTTTTATTATTTTCTATTTCTGTACAATTGACAACAACATTTTTAATTTAAAACAACATGAATCAGAGTTGGAGACTGTCAATTGAGATTGTTGATGGCTGGAAGGTGACAGCAAACCCCTCATCCCCCGAAGAAGGGAAAAAAGTTGTCTGGCTTCCCAATTTTTCTAAGGGCTAGATTCTATGAGGTGCTGATGAGGTTTCCTGAAAGGTGTTAAATGTCTTCAACTCTCAGGATGAAATCTTGGCCCCACTGAAGTCAAAGGCAAAACCCTCACTGATTCCAGTGGGGCCTGGATTTCACCCTCAGTGATGTCAATCACAGGTAAGGGCACTCAGCACTCTGCAAGATAACTCAGCTCTTTGTAGAACTGAGGTCTATGATCTTTGCTCACTGGGGGACACAGGAAGCACCCATGAAACAGATAACTAGAGGCAGTGGACCTAGGTACAGGGTTCAGAAATTCTTCTCCCTCCTTTCCGTCACAGAAACTCATCAGTTCCACCTGAGTAGGGTCCTCTAATGCCATGGATAAGACAGGATTAACCTCTAAATGTGAAAATACTCATTGAAGAAGAAAAAAACACTACAAAAATAACTACTGTAGGACTACATTTAAGAAAGATTTACCATTTTGCTCTAATTTCTCATGAGCCGCTTTTATCATTCCAAATTGACATGTGATAGTAGCATAGCATTTCTCAACTTCATTCAGTTTCTTATGATGTTCCTCCTTTGCCATTATGTGCAATTGTAGCTTTTGATCCTGTTGAAAACAGGAATCAAGAATTAGTTCAATGAGCAATTCTAGCAATTATAAATGTGCTCGCCAAACTTTCAACTATTAAATCAGATAAATCAAAGCATCAAACTCAACCAACAATATTCTGAATCAAATGGAACTGCAAAGAGATTTAAAGAAGAATAGTATAATTTAATGATCTAAATAAAATAATTTCAATATATTATTTGCTAAAAACAAAAGCTCACCATTTACTACTAAACAGTAGCTAGGGATTTTAAAAGTTTCTAAAGGAAGCATCTAAAATGTAAGTCACTTCTCAAAAACAAAAGTTAGGCTCTAACAGGTTAAAAATATTGGAACACAAATGCAAATCAGTACCAGATTCATGGACAATTATGGAATAAGTCATTCATAGGGGAAGTTTCTTCCTAACCACTGCCAATCAATGGTTGTTTTATGCCCGGAAAGATGAAGGATTACATCCCTTATACATTTTTAACTCAAATAATCTAACGGTGGATTTTCTAATTACCCATACGATTTAATTTGTTTTAATCCTACTAAACTCTTGAATGAGTGATATCTTGTGTCAATGAATTCCACAGGTTAATTGTTGTGTCAAATATATTTCCTTTTATCAGTGTTAAGTCTATTGTTTCTTTGGTTATTGTGTTATAGGAAAGGGTAAATAGGAGTTCATGATTTGCCTTTTATATACCATTCATTTGAGAGAGAAAGAGAGCTCATTTATTCATTTCCTCTGTAAACAGTAATAACCTTTTCAGTCAACTTTCATATGAAAGTCTTTTCAGTGCTCTAATAATTTTAATCTTTTTTTAAGCAAAACAAGGTGAGTGAGGTAATCCTTTATTGGACAAACTTCTGTTTGTAAACAAGACAAGCTTTCAAGCTATACAGAGCTCTTCAGGTCTGGGAAAAGTACTCAGCATGTCGCAGATAAATACAAGGTGGAAAAGATTGTTTGCATAAATAGTTACACTGAATATAAGCTTCGCAACTTTGCTAGATGATAAAAATCATGGTCTTAATAAAGACACTGGATTTATGGCTTATTACAACATTTGTAACCCACTACCCCCCTCTTTTTAGTCCTATGACTGCAGAGGTGTTAACAGCCCATTTCACCTTGAAGGTCTCTTATAACACCACGTGTTAACTACTTATGCTAAACAATCTGTTCCACCTTGTATTTAGCTGTGACACTGAGTACCTTTGCCAGAGCTGAAGAGCTCTGAGTAGCTCAAAAGCTTTACTCTTTCACCAACAGAAGTTGGTACAATAAAAGATATTACCTCACCCACCTTGCCTTTCTAATATCCTGGAACCAACACAACTACAACACTGAAAACATCTTTTTTTCTGTGACATGCTGGCCAGAAATGAACAGTATTCCAGGTGACACACCAATGCAGTTGTAAAACTACTTTTTATCCCTTTTTTACTTTAGGTTTTAGTCTCTTTTCTGGTTTGTTCTGGTTTGTTTTGTTGTGGTTTTGTTTTTGTTGTTGTTTTTTGTTAGTTTTTTTTTAATTATTAAGTATGCTAAATTTTCCCTTTAATTTCCTTTAAAAATACAGAGGCAAACTCATCCCTGTGTAATTCCATTACTTTACTTGGACATACATTGCATTTGTTAAGCTACTAGGGAATAAAACAGAAATCAAACAGGTTGGGCCAAATTCATTCCTGTATGTAACTTCAGTGGAGCTACACAGGGATGAATTTGGCTCAACTTGCTTGACTTCTGTGGTGCTCCCTTTTTATAGGCTAACAAATGCAATATATGTCCAAGCATCAGAAGATAATAAAAGTTGATGGTAATCAAAGAAATGGCCAACATAAGACTAGCAAAATAGGATATATATAATACAAATTTTTCATGTTGTATAAGATAATAAAATTAAACACAATACAGCAAATTGAAAGTTGTAATGGAAGCACAGCTAAAGAAACAGCAACCACTTATAAAATCACTTCCAGCTATTCAGCCTATGAATTTTCATATAATTCTTCTCTCTTTTCCAACCCTTTACTTATGTCAGCACAGAAAAAAACATCCAAATAACTGCATTTAAGTAATGCTAGGGATGTGAATGAAACCAACAAAAATAAGAAAAGAAAGTTAATGACGACACTTGATTATTACCTTTTCTTCTGACAGTGGTTCAGACATGTTTATTCTATTAGAGACTTACACATGAAGTGCAAATTTTTCTTCTGCTCCAGGCAGATGGTGGTAGAAAGAGCCAAACTTAAGCTGACTGCCCTCAAAGGTAGGCATTCCTTGCTGATAAAGCATGATCGAGGGAAATAATTGGATTAAGTAATATGCCATCTCAGCTACGCCAAGGTGGCTTGAAAGAAGTATACCATAGAATAAGGTTTCAGTGCCAGACACACTGTATTGGGCCATAACTGGAACATGGCAAATCAGTCCCGGGGATGAAACCACTTGTGACCAGTCCAGGAACACCCATAGTGTCTTTCCATGGGATCAGACAGCTCAGAGATTTCAGTAATGGTGGAGTTACACACACCCATGAGGGACTTCCTCTCAAGGTTTAGGTTTGGGTCATTTGATTCAGTTACTTATTCAATAAACCCATGACCTGTATAACCACCAGATAACTTCCTGGTCTTTGTTTCTTTATTTGTGGCCTGGCATTAAGTAATCCATGCTTATCTTTTCTTCTTGCTCTAGCTCTTGTGCTCTGAAGTAGCCAGGCACAGCATGATAAGCTAAGAGCCATGTCAATTTAAATTGAATTTCTTTTCTGTTATCTCTCTGTGTGTCAAAACCTTAAATAGACCTATATATAAATTTATACATGGGTATGTTCTCCTCCCGATGCAGGTAATTTCCATTACTCTGAAAGGTTTGATTAATTTTCATATTAATGAGACACAATGTAGGGCAAATTGACCCTATAATGCAGGAATTATTTTTAAACCCCTGGCTTACTTTAGCAATAATGCATTACAATACATGCCTCATATTTAAAATATTACAAAACCGTGTGTGTATTAAGAATCACAAGCTTTGACAATATCATACTTTGAAGAATTACAGCAAAATCTGCAGGAAGTTTCTCCCAATCTTCTGGTTCCCCCCCCCCCCCCAAGATCTGCAAATTTTTTAATTTTGTTTTTTAACTTGGCAATATTTTATCTTACTGTTTTGCCACCTTCTTTCCTCATGATAGGTCAACATGCCAGTCCCCCTATATCCTTCTCACTGGGGAAATGGGATGTCATTGCCTTCACATATTCTGGACAGATGTTCTGCTAGGAAGAACGTGCTGATTTGCTATTTCCCCATGTTCTTACCAAGGGAGAAAGAGACTGGCCTGCTGTCCCTCAAAGGTTGGCCCAAAGATGACTTCTGGTGGAAAAGCACACTCCTGGCTTCATTCCCAGAAAAGGTAAGCTGAGGTTTGCCACTTCCCTAACATCCTTCCTGGCAGAGATGTAAAACAGTCTTCCACTCAGGCCCTAACATCCCTCCCCTAAAATAATTGTTGGAAACAAAATAGAGGAAATCTGGAAGGAGTCTGTTGGAGAGCGAGGGTTTGATCCTGGAGCTTTCACAGAAGTCTGTTCCTATTAGAGTGGAAAGGCATGGAATCTTACTTCTCCGTCCTACAGTCTGATACTCCATGTGGAAGGATAACTACAGTGCCCTTCACCTGAAATAAAGATAAGCTGGGATGGGGAGTAGAATTGGTTGTGGCCATGTTGTTTGATGAAACAGAGTGATTTCTTGATGGAATTAGTCCAGGGAAATAGCTCAGGGCCAGGTAGCTTGCTTGGGGGAAGACACAAGATGAAGTGCTCACATCTGAGGAATATGCTGGGAATGGAGACACTAGTAGTCAGATATATATCGTGAGGCTGAAGGTGGTAATTGGGAACTGAGAGTACCAGGGAGACGGAGAAGTTATTACAGTAGGAGACTTGAGGCAAAATGATGTGGAAATTATGCGGAGAGAGCTATCAAAATGTGTAAATCAAAGCAGGAAATTTTGGCCCATACAATAGTCCCTTCACATTTTTTCCCCCTAGAGTCAATCTTTTAAAAAAAAATTAATGCGTCCAGAACAAGTTTTTCTGTTTTTCAGCCATGAACAGTTGTGGATGAATTCCTAAAAATGTTGAGACTGCCAAGATAAAAATCATATTCATATAAAAATTCCTTAAGTGTGTCCCTAATATTTTAGATTATTAAAAATGAAACAGTTTATAAAATATAATTTATTTTTCTCAAATTAGAGTGTTTACTGTTTTCATAACACTCAACTTAGAAAGAGTGAAACTAGACTGATTACTTTACATATAATATCCCTCCTTGGTTCTCATGCATAGCATCATGTTTCAGATACTATAGGGAAAAGTTTGAGGGGGGAAAAACCGAAAAACCTTAGCCCAGATCCTCAGTTATAATTGAGGATAATGCAGTGCAGGCTGGGGAGGAAGCACAAAGATGATAAAAAGCTCACCTTGAGTCTATTCTGTGCCAATCCAGCATCAGAACACACTAAATTACATTAATTGCCAAGGGACTGATAATGGCTGCTAAGGATCAGCAAGGTTAAGGGGAAGACATGGCCATGACCTCTTTCCCCAATCATGCCCTCTTGGCTCTATGTCAGCTACAGGGAGAAGGCATGGCACAGAAGCCACTTTCACCAAGCCTACACTATCATCACCAGTACTGTCTTGATCCTCCCACGGACTAGAATCCACAGGTATAAAAACTAGGATACTGCACTGGGGAATCGGGGCCCTTGTTTTCATTGAAACAGGAGGGAATGACATTAAAATTTTCTATTAATATTTAAAAAGTTTTCTAAAATCTTTTTCAGATACAAAAACAAAATTTTTGCCCTGTTGGTTAAAAATTCCAACGTAATTTATACAACAGTGTCATAAATGGATAACAACCCACAGCAACCTTGATTCCCAAACCCAACTTGATTGCACAACGTGATTACGTATGGTGTGCACAGAATGTGTGAAGATTGCAGTTTTACAGGTTAAAGAGTGCACAAGCCCAAGATGGCACATCCAGTCCCCAGCAGAAACAAATGTTGCTATCTGGCTGGCAGGTTTTCTAAGGTACAGAATATGAATTAGGCATTGTTTCTGCTAATTTTCAATGCACTAGCCAGGGCAGAATTTGACCCTTCTTTAACAGAAATATAAAGAAGGAAATAATCTGTCATATAAATGAGCATCAAATAACTAATGCCTTGGAATTTCTAAGAGCTCTTTGTTTATCTATTTTCTACATCATAATCTCAAAGTCCCTGGACTGGCCACTATCACTCACAATGGCTACAAATCTATCATCTTTATTCTCTCAGAATCTCTTTGATTTCAACAGGACTGCTCAAGGAGTAAAGCTGTCAGAACTTGACCCAATCTAAAATGCATTATTGCATTGCTACACAGATAAATAGATAATGGAACTTCTATTTACCTCCTTATCTGGCCCCTATCATCATAGATTCTGAGCACCTATTATGAATAGAGCTAAGAAAATATGAATTACAGAAGGTAGGGACATGTTCAAAAAAGGGGTTTCTAACATGTTTTCCCACATATTTCTAGGAAATTATTACGAGTACCTATTTATTCATCCAGGTTCTTACAGTGTATCAGCACTGTAGTGTTTGAGTGTTTCCAAGGCATCCGAAGACAATTATTTAATGATTATGAGTCTGTGTGTATATGTGTGTGTATATATAATATACACATTTTTACACACACAACATAAAATACAAGGATATATAAATAAGCAACATTTCATAAGGAGGCGTAAATACACCTCTAGTTTGCAGACAAAAAGTGTTGTAATTTAAATATTATTCTCTTTCATATGGAAGACGGAACATGGGAGCTCAGTAAAAGACAGTACTTGAAGGGATATAAATATAAATTCAATAATTTTGTATATTTTAACATTTTTCAGATTACAAGTACTTGTTTAACAACAAATGCAAGTTAAAAGTGAAATAAGACAAAACACATTTTATGTTGCCTTTGATCTTTAACTTGTAGCCTTATCTCCCAGGTCAAAGGACACATTATTCAATTTCACCACATTTTGTGTAAAACCACTGTAGCGTTGAAGATGACTTTCAGTACAAATGTCATGGTACTTAAAGCTAAACTGGACTCTAGTTTTTGAGCTTCTTAATTAAAATCACAGTTTATAATGGTCTGACAATATTATCTTTATTCTTTCCAGTTGAGCAGCAACAGAATTTTCACAGCTTCTATTCAATCAAGCTTAGCAATGTTTCTGCAGCTCGCTCTTTCACTTCCTAAAACACACAACAGGATTCAGAGTGTCTAAACTGTCACTCTATATTCAATGTCTGAGGGAGTAAATTGTCTCGCCTCTTATTTTTGTCTCCTTGGATCAAATCTAAACTCTGCTGGGGAATTAATATTAAAAATAATTCTAACTCCCACCCCCCATGTCATTCTGTTTGCTAACGTATTAACTTTTAGACATATCATTGTCCCTGACTATTCCATCCTAATGCAGCCAACTCCAGGCCATGCCTTATAATTTTAAGGATAATGTAATATCGTTATTCTTTTTATGTTCTGTAGAGAAAATCTTCGCTGGCTCTAATAAGCAAAAGTTAAACTACATATGCTCTACAAACTAAGGAATATTTCAATTTTAGAAAAAAATATTCCAAATATTAAATTAAAGGTTTTTATAAACAATTCTGCAATTGTCAGAATATAGTAAAAGGAAGAGAAAAAACTGAAGTATTTTACATATAACAAGATGATGTGACCTCTTTCTTTTAGCTAGGTCTAAACAGTTACTTTTCATAGCTTATTTCTAAAATTCTGTCAGTATTTTCATTACAACCCTCCCAATCTGTCATCATTTTGTCATTGCAAAAATTTTTGGTCTCTTTCATCTATAGTCATCTACAGTTTTTGTAGTTTCTTACCATTTCATTCAATTTCTTCTGTAAAGTGTATTTTGAAATCTGTAAAAACACAAAAAAGCTACACAGTTAATGTTACAGTATAATTTTTCTTTACCAATCTTTACTGAAGAAGGCATACATATTAAATATTTTGTTTATATTTTCAATGTGTATTGAAGATTTTGTTCATCCCAATGAAGTAATACCTTTTTTTTTGGTTCATTTACTGTAATGGTTCTTTTATTGTAAGACTAAGATTATAACATTGCACTTATTTAAATATCTAAAGAATGCAAAAGAAATCAGTGAAATTCTAATGCAAACAAATTAATGTAAAAGAGCATAAATGTGTATTATGACATACATATTATTTTAATAATTTTTAACATAATATAGATCAACACAATATTTTATTAGTACATTTTTTAAATATATTTACAAGAATTAAAGACCAGGTTTGGTGACCAAATGTGAAAATGTCAACTACTGGTGCCTGTGAAACTTTTTCATGGTTTGTAATTACTTTAATATAGTTGTTTTACACCATATTTTATTAGAAATAAATTAGATCTCAGTCCAATTTTCAACTAAGGCAATGGCAAAATTCCTATTGATTTCAAAAGGAGTAGGAGAAAATCTTTATGTATTAAATTAAAACGAGGGGATCCAAGTTTAAGTTCTGTACACCATACTTTATTCATAAGTCAACAGGTGGTAGGAGTGCTAAAAGGTGATATACATTTCTCCCCCACCATCAGCATAGACTTTGGAGGGAGCTATAACCAACCTTCACTAGAGGAAAGATCACCTTCATGTAGGGCCTTTGCAAGAAACAGGGGAGAAAGAAGAAGTAGAAATTGGCGTAATCTCTGAGTCTTAGAGGAACTTAGAACCTGTTCTCTACTCAGAACAAATAGATAAATAGCTATTATAAATGTCTGAAAAATAAAGACATTTTAGTACAACTCTTGTGTTTCTTATTAATGAAAAATTCCCATTTGAAGTCATTAATATAATACTTTCCACTCCAGTAATAGCCACTGCAAAGTCACCAGTGTCAATGAGAATCTTGAGTCAAGTAATCCCTGAGTAAGATTAGAAACATTTGATCCCTTATCTTTTATCTCATAGAATATACAAATATTAGTGATATTTTAATACCTTTAACTATAGCATTATTATACTGCCAGCACATGTTAGTATCATTTGCAGTGATCAAATGTTTAGGTGTATAGCCACTATCCTGAACCTTTGAATATATGAATGTACAATCCTAAAAATTAAATACTGTTTTTGGATATACAAAAACTTTGCAATAGTGTGAGATTTACCAACTAACTATGGACTTTAGACCTGGAAGATCTTAGATCTCAAAGATTACCATCCATAAAATCAATAACTGGAACTTTAGTTGCAATTCTTGAATCTTGTACACTTTAATCCATCAACAGAGGCATTCACTAGTATTTCTGTTGTTAAGAGACTGGCATTGTTTCAATTTTTAATTCATATTATGAGAGATTTATCACTTGAATATAAAAACTTGCTTTGCACTAAAATTTTGCATTCAAGTTTCAGTTCAGCTAGTAGTGTCCTAGAGTGCTTTCAGAGTAGCAGCCGTGTTAGTCTGTATCCGCAAAAAGAAGAACAGGAGGACTTGTGGCACCTTAGAGACTAACAAATTTATTAGAGCATAAGCATGCTT